CAGGTCAAACACATTACACCCAAAAGAAGCACTTGGGAGTTCATAGTCGTAGGCTCGTAAGGCGAGCCATCCATCAGAGGGGAGAGCTGCATGTTGCCAGAGCATTTTCCTATTATGTGAATCCACCGTTATCCTTTCCATTACTGTGGCCAGAACGAAAAAAGAGAGGTCAGGAGGTTTCAACCACCAGTATCTGAACTCACACATCACGTCTGTCTGCTCGCACTTTCCGGAGTCAATCGCACCAAGGATCGTGTTTGGCCGATCAATGCAGCTTTGTCCGGCGACGGATCTGGTCGCTGCGACCCTTCCTCGGGGCTGTTGGTGGACTGTGTTACTTTGCGGGTCGATGCGCCTTGGAACTCGTAATACCTTAGATTCTCAGCCTTGGAGCACGAATCCGACGATTGCTACACATCTAATCGACTCAATCTCAGGTCGACTTTGATTTCAGATTCTGACCCTAACCGCGAAGCTTGGAACTAAAGCATTCGCTCTCGTCTTCACAGACTTGAAGGATTTCTTTACATGGACGCATGGACGTCACATTCGGAGGGGAGCGACATGTCTGAGGCGAATGAAGCCGTGGACCCTTGAGACCTTGCAGTAGGTGACAAATCATGCTCGTGCTGGTAACAATTTTGTGCTGGCAGGCTCAAGAGGATTTCGTGCGCGGGAAATTCTGTTTATAAGCTGGCAGTAGTGGTGCGGCAGATGCATGTTTTTGTGTTCTCGTGTTGCGACCAGAAGCTTCGTAGGAACCTGGAGTCACATTCTCGTCGATGGGTCCTCAAGCTTTTGAACCGAGGTAGACATCGCCAAAAGTCACCGCTCCGGTTTCGCTGGGGGCAGCTGTGGAAAGGGCGTGGCATGCTTCAGGGTGCCAGCTTGGTCCCTGGGGAACCTCCTGGAGCGGCTGTTTTGTGCTCAGGGCTACGTAGGAGGGCGGGCACCCCCTTGTGAAGAGTTTCAGGGTTTGTTGCGCACATGTTGCTGTATAGCCTTACGTTGTCTCGTTCTGGCCTTGGCAGCGACTGAGGAATCGCTCGATCTGTTGTGTATCGACGCCAATAACACAGAATGCGCTCACCCCTTTCAGGAGGCCCTGGGGATCCAAGAGGTGGATCACCTGAAGCTGAACTGTGAAGGTTGCGAGTACCATGTCCTGAGTGACCCAGCAGTGCAGCACATGACGTGGCTCGGCAGAGCAGCTAGCTTGAGGCTTTAGACAAGCAAAGGGAAGTCAGGTTGCACAAAGGTTCGTTGTTCGAAGCAAGCGACGGTCAGGGGAGTATTGTCGGCTCTTAGTCCCAACTTGAAACCTAAACTGCAGCCGGGAAGAGGTCCAGTGGCCGCTTGCGCATCAGCGGTGAGATTCACCACCCGGACAGGTTTCCCGGAATCTCCAGTCCCTAGGCCGCATCTGGTTCCTGAGTGCCCGGCTATGAACAACCCAAGTTTCTCGTTCACCCTTAAACTCGTGTGTTGTGTAGTCGGACACTTGTGGGTGTGTGCAGGGTGTGTGGGTCTCAAGACTCATGCTCTGCAGGCTGCAGAGATACACAACATGTTGCTGCCTGCTGGAAAGCCCCTGCAACCTCTTGCCAGTTTTGCCGGGGCTGCTAAGGCTTTGGAATTCAGGTTCCGAGATCTAGCGAAAGTCTTGCTCACCACCGAAGATATTGTCCTAAGCATTCTAAACCGGTCATGGACGACTCTTAGGCGGCTAAGCGGGCTTACAGTTGGTGTCCGCTTGGTACTTTCTCGATTGCCGGTGCAAAGGCTAGCGAGTAATTCGTAGTTCCGTATCGATCAGATGTACTCCGTAGCAGTAATCGGTGACGTCGGCTTTTCCCAAAAGCCCGCTTCGGGTTGCCAGAGAAACTAGACAATGCATTAATCAGTCGACAAAGCAACGTCCCTTTCTTTCTTTCTTTCTTTCTTTCTTTCTTTCTTTCTCTCTCTCTCTCCCTCCCTCTGTCGCCCTTCCTTTCAATCTGTGTTTGTCTTTCTCGATCTCTCTCCCGCGCTCTCTGTCTCTCTCTCTCTCTCTCTTTCTGACTCTCGCTTGCTCTCTCTCTCTCTCTCTGTCTCCGTTTCTCTCTCTCTCTCTCTCTTTCTGACTCACGCTTGCTCTCTCTCTCTCTCTCCGTTTCTCTCTCTGTCTCTCTCCCTCCCTCTCTCTTACTCTCGCTCTCGTTCTGTGCTCCTGATCAAAGATCAAGCAACCTCGACCCACCACAGATGTACAGAATCTTGTGCCCATCCCTCCGAGGCGAGATGGCAACGGCTACCATGGACGTCATGTGCAAGGACTCTTCGACTACTGTAGAATTTCGACGTCCGTGTTCAGAGCTGCTTTCTCCTGGCAGTGGTTTTTGACTGCAGTGCTGTGAGAAACGGGTCGATGTCTTGAAACCAGCAGCAGGATTTTCGCCAGCAGTTTTCTTTCAACAGGAGTATCGATTGTTTTTGACTTCATTCAAGCTGCGGCGTTACACGACCACACGCCCCCGTGCACGTTTGCAAAGCCTTCATGTACAGGCCATCACATAGTCACTAGTACCGATTTTCGTATACACCCAGGTTTTTTTACATCAGTTACAAGCATTATGTACATACAGTACACCTAACTCATATATCCGAATCTTGTCTAGCCGGACCTCATGTCAATGTGCCGAAATTCAGATGTAAAGCAATGTAACCCAACGTGGTGTAAATGTAGTGTCATGTCTCGTAACACAACGCGACGTGCGCAACGTAATTTGTGATGTAATGCGAACCAGTGTGGAAATGTAATGCAATAAAATGTTCTGCTATATTGCATTGTAAGGTTCAAGCTCTAACACGACATTGCCATAAGATATAGCCGTCGTGCACATGTGTACATGTAGATACTTAAACATACATACGTAGATGTGCGTGTGTGTGCGTGTGTCCTGGAATGGAGTGTTCTGCAGCAACGCATCGCCAGCATCTGTGCAGGAGAGGCTGGTTGGCAGCCGTGAAGGTGTGTGCACCGTGGAGAAAAGGATCAGTGTTTTGCGTGGAACCGCAACTTAGTGGCGCATGTTTTCCATCTTGGAGCAGGGGCCCTTCGCGAGCCTGGCCTTCGGCTTTGGGGATTCTATGGGTTGTCGGCCCGGCTTTTCGGGGCACGAGGCTTCAACTTGTTTCAGGCATTGCGTGTCGGATCAGCGTGTGGACTAAGCTTCGAGACCCGAAGTGTTCAACTCAGACTGAGGGGTGCAAGTATCGGGTAGCAAGGTGAGAAGAGCCCAGGCAATGACCAAACAGGCGAAAAAGGGAAGTGCCTAAACAATGTTGCAACGTGTGCCATGTTTGCTGGAGCATGGAAGGCAGACGTAGCGTGTAGCTGATGTGTTAGCTTTTTTCCCGAGAGCATGTGCCCGACCTTTGGCGTGCTCAAACATTGCTGTGCATGCTATGCTACACGTGGCATATGTAACATGATGAGTGCTTGTCGTGGACGGGCCATGTTGTGCTAGGAAAAAGTTTTCGCAACTCGGCCTGGTTGGCATTGACGGCCCTCCTCATAGGAGGAAGCTGCATCACCGCATGGGCACCGCATGGGCACGCATTCGTGGATCCCGAACCTTCAATGTGCTCGGGCTGTGGACAGGTTGCCCCACAGTTCTACGGGGACTGCGCGCAGGCGGATTTTCAGGCCTTTTGTCGCAGACAGGACTCTTTTTGTTTTTCACTTGCTCGGAAGATACATACTGTAGGTTGTGCAGGATCTGCCGCCTCTTGCCTGAACCCTGAACCCGAGATGTCCACAAGCTTTGCTATCCAAGCTTTCTACAAGCTTTGCTAGCCAAAGGCGTCGGTATGTTTGGTCGTGCATGCCAGGCCTGACGCGAGTCTCGAGAGCCCGCCAAAACCCGGATCCCACGAACCAGCCCAGCTGGAACCCAAGAGCTCCACGCGGTAGCTCCACACACTTTCCGGTGTTTCTCAAATCAAAGGAGCCCTGGAAAAATCCCGGACTCCCGAGCTGGGCCAGGCCTTCAAAACCCGAGCGGCTGCGTGGTACGACAAGCGGCTCGCGAGTCTTCAGCTCTTCCATGACTGCTTTGCTCCTTGCGTTGTTTTTGGTCGGGCATTGTGGGGCTGGGTATCAGGCCGTGCGATTTTGTTGGTTTGGGGGGTAGGGTTGTGTTCTCGTTGGGCTTAGAGAGTTTAAGGAGTGCTGTCGATTCGCAGCTGACAAACCCGCAGGTTGCGTGCTCAGAGACCCGAGCTGAGGGAACCCACTGTTGATACCGTACCGGACGAGTTGAGCGGAGTGGAGACTGCACCCGCCGTGTTGTTTATTTGTGCTTGTGTGTGTGTGAATGGGGTGTACAGTATGCAGGTACATTCGTGCATGTGTCAATGCGCGTGCGTGCACGGCTCGTCGACGGACGTTGGTAATTGCGGAAGTTGCTTGTCGAAGTTCGAGTTGTGCCACCAAATCCAAGCCTACATTATGACGCTGCTTGAGGGCGAACCTGCCGGTCCTAAACAATGGAGCACTAATTCAACGGAACACCCTGCACGAGTCTGCCTGTGTCCTGTACAGTAGTATAGGCTTCCGGTTACTGTAGCAATGCACCACTGGCCTTGCTCCTGAACTTGGAAGGACATGACTCTCCTCATAAACAACTTTGAGACGGCATACATGAATTGTCCTGCCGCGGCTGTACTTGCAGCGCCGAAGCTGCAAGTGAGTGACATCGGGTGCTTTGGGTACCGACGCAACTGTGTAGAGCGTTCGGCGGGTGAATATTTGGACTTGGTGTCAAGAGCTCCAAGTGCTGTCGAGACTTGCAAGAGCCGGCTTGAACCGGATGTTTGCGCGTATTGCGAACGTTCCCTGCATAGTTGACATGCTGAAGCGGGCAGAGCCACACAGTCAATCGCTGGTAACAACAACAAGAAGCCGAGTAGTTCTAAACCCGAGTAAGTATGCCATGCCAGCCTTGTGCGAGTGTGTGAGTCGAACCCCGAATAACTGCCTCGCCTGGATTGTCCGAGTGCGAGCGCCGAAACCCGAATAACCCCACCGACCACACAGCTGTCAACAGAACCCACTGGCACGAGCCACAAACACCGGGGATACTGCATACACAAGCTCGCCTCATTTCTCTATTGTGCAACAACCTTCAGCTGTGCACGAGGTTCTGCTCAAACTGGAATCTGCCTACTTCGAAGAAGCGGAGAAGTGGGATGCACTGCTGGAGTTTCTTGGATTCAGGTGAACAGTTTGGAGCAGTGAAATCCTGTCCACGGCTTGATCTGAACAGCCCCACGAACACTGAGACAACTTCTAGCATCGTGCGTTGCCCCTACCCAGGATTTACATCAGCACGTTGAACCGGGCTCTGGCGGAAGGACCCGGTGTTAGCCGAAACTCCGACCATGCATCCTGCGCGATGTCGAAGGGTTACCAAATAGTCATAGCGGCAACGCAAGCAGACGAACTTGGAGATCTTTGCATCCAAACTCGAATCTGCAGACAGACGTGGTCATGGCGCATGTGTAATGTTTCTTTGCTCCAAGCAGTCAGGCGGAGGCATCTGGAAGCGAAGCTTTGGGATCTGTGAGACAGACAGTCCAGAGCAAATGACTGTAATCGTCCCAATAAACCTGCAGCATTTTGCTCACAAGCTTTCTGGGCTGTTTCGCGCGAAAAGCCAGCACTTGGAAGCGCTCCGAGCTCTTCAGGCACTGGTCAGTGTCTGAGGTTCTGGTTTCAATCAAACTTTATAGTTTACCCCAAGACAAAATCCTGGCAATGATGGCATCCACCGTAGCGACCTTCAGTTGAATGATGCGTCAGGCCTAGGGCCTAGGGAGCTGAAAGAGAGCCAGGGCAGGTGAGAAAGATGTTTCGGTGCGATTTGGGGACTCTACAGACGACGGTCAACTTAAACGCCGACAGACTTCCGCAGCTCGTACATGGCATGTGCCAGTCAAAACAGAAGTTTTTTTCCGCCGGGCCAAGCTCACAGTGCCCTTGCCATGCAGCTTCTGTGCTGTTCAACCCTTAGCCTCAGCCTTGCTGCAAGTTTGAATTTACTTTTGAGGGCCGTCTCACTAAAATCATGGCAGCTGAGTGCTACAAGGGGAGTCGGCATTAATCGTCGGGCCTTCTTTGCATGCCAGACATTGCAACCCATCGCTACAGCAACATGACAGGAATGACGTGTTCATTGACTGCACACACGCGCATGACCACCATGTTTGCCAACCTGCCGATAACAGGCCATGTCCCGCTCCTTCGTTGTGCTTGCAGTGGCATTTGCTACCAGCCACTCGGCCTGCAATCGTGAACCTCGAATGCCTGATCTACACGCCAAGATGTTTTGCCCTGACCCGGCGATCACCCTGCTATACATGTTCTAGGGGGCGAAGTTGTGGCGCCAGGAATCTGGGCACGGCAAAGGATAGATGAGATCCCGAACTGAGGGAAGTTCAATAGGGAAAGCATGCATCTACCCGCTGCATGGGTGTGTGCCTGGTTGTGTTGGAGGCCCAGCATCGGGGACGACGAACGGTGGGAGCCGGACAATAATCGGAGAGCACCGGCAAGCAAAGGCTTCCTCCTGCCCTTGAACTTCGTCTTGCCGGTGGTACCCCGCTTCGCGCCGTCGCTGTCCCACGTGGCTTTGCAAGAGAAGGCATGCTTCAGGGCTCGGACCAGAGTCGATGGAGGGCTGGCGGCTTCTTGCGTGGTGATGTTTACTCGCGCCATCTTGCACCAGTAGACTGCATGTGGCCATCGTAAAATCAGAAATGTGGTTGTGAAGGTCGCTGCAGTGGCTGTTGTCGGTTGGTGCTTTAGCTGTTGTAGTGGGCATGGTCGTCGTCGTCGTCGTTGCTTTGCTGGCGCTGGTACTTGTGCGGCATCGTCGTCGTCGCCTTCGTTGATGTCTTTCTCATATCCGTGGGGGTGGTGGTGGCTAGGCCAAGTGCCAATGCTTTATCCATACCGATATCTTAGCAGGTCCCATGCAGGAGAAAAAGGCCATGTTGTCATCCATGCTATTACTAGTTTTTAGCATGAGAACAACAACAACAACAACCACAACAACAACAACAACAACATCAACAACAACAACAACAACAACAACAACAACTACTACTACTACCACTACTACTACTAGTATTAGTAGTAACGGTAATACTGATAGTTTGTTAGTAGTAAGAGGTGATGGCAGTGGCAGGTGGCAGTGGTAATGTAGTGGGACGATTAATGGAAACCGGAATCGCACTTATTCGTATGAGCCAAGCGCATGGTAATCGAAACAAGCATGTGAAGCAAAAGCCGAGCCGTGCAGGCCAACGAAAAACAAGGACCCCAGGACCGACGCTGGTGACTCGAAGTCCTCGCAGTAACAACGATGCGTCAGAGATTTCGCATGTGAGTCTTTGCTTCGGTGCACGCACCGATCCGATCCTTGTTGATCAGAGTCAGAGTACGCCCTCAATGCCCATGCAGGAATCCAGGAATCAACAACCCGTGCTGCAAGTACTTACGGAGGAAGCGTGCTTACAACGCATCGTGCATTTTAACCTTGAGCCGGAAGGACCTCGTCGCCCCTGTGCCTGCGACATTGATTGCTATGCTGGCCGGGCTCATGATTGGACTCTTTGCCATGCCGAAGGACCGGATGGAAACTGCAGAAGGCCAGAAAATAGAGGGCAGTAGCGGCAACACGAAGTTGTCATCTTCCTGACAGAGATTTTCATAATTTCTCCGTGCTTTAGGCTTCTGCGCAAATCATGAGCGACGCTTGCCTGCGCAGGACGTAGATGCAGTTCCACACCCCCGCCCGGACTTCCAGGCGCCGAGCTTTGGGGTTTTCGAGCCTTTCTCTTCCAGGATTTCATGCTGTGCGTTTTTCAGATTTCGGTGCCAGAGCAGATCCCGGGCCAGCGAGTCCCCAACCCTGGGCTTCCGAACTCTGAGCGGCAGCTACATTCACCGCAGCATCCCCACACTGGGCGGGGTTCGGCAGTCCTCTTGTCAGTAAGCGAGTTTGAAGCCGCTTTTAAGACCTGTGAGGGCTGGCACTTCGCCAGCCGCATGCTGCACTGTTTGACGAAGCTAGCACGTGATGGCATGGATTTGCGGACCGATGCCGGGAAAGCCTTCACGATCAAGCGACAGTGAAGCCTGCAGTGGAGACGAAATTGGTTTATGATGTCATGCACGATGCCAGGCTGAAACTGTGTTTGAGCTGCTTGTAATGTAATGCAGAGAGCTGAACCGTCGGCATCCTTGTGGACAGTTGGAGCGGCCGGGCTACATGCAGGGCATCGATGCCGCCAACGCCGCCTGGAGGCCTCATTGGGGGAATCCGGATGCTCCGGGCAGATTTGCTTTCTCAAATGTCCGTCAGCTCAACCACAATACTTCACGGGACTCTTCGGCCATCTTCAGCCCGCGTTGTCATATGTTCTGGATGATCCCGTTTTAAGTGGAAGATCCTGGAGGGCTGGGTGCAAGAAGTTGCTGCTGTTGTTGCTGTGTTGTTTGCATGGTCTGGTTTTTGTCTGATGAACGTGGCAAGACGAAGCCCCGCCTCAGCCGTGCTTTGGAACACATGTAGTAAATTAGAGATCCTCAGACCCAGTTTAAGATGTGGGAGTTAGATCCTGAATCATCCACTCAACGGTGTGCAGCAGCACGCGCTCGGGGACCACAGCTGTAACATGTTGGCAGAGATCTGTCTGAAGACTGGTTTGCCGAGGCATGCACAAGCCGTAGCAAGCTTAAGTAAGCTTGATCCTTAAAAAGCCTCAGGAAAATCTTCCGTAATGTTTCGTCTGGCTTCAGAATCAGTATGAGCTCTAAGTCTGAATGTCTCCCGATTGTCCACCTGGATATCCGACTGACAAACACTTGCCCGGCCAGTCACCTCGATCCCTGACCCTTGATGTCCTGTCCGCGTGTCGCAACAGTCGAGACCGTGACAACCCTGACATGACTCAGCTCCTCAAGTCTTTGGAACCTGTGAATTGCTCAGGTCTACAGCTTTGCCTGAGAAGAAACACCCAGACAAGATTTCCCAAGATCTGCAACGAGTTGACCACCCGGCCCCGGCCCTGATCTCACCGGCTCCATCTTGCCAGGCCTGGTGAGATCGACTTTGTGACACGATCCCGCTTGGAAGCAGCACAGTTCCCAAAGGCCCTCAAGGACGCAGAAATCTTGTTTCTGACATGGAGGAGGTTCGGGAGCACCGACATCGTAGACTGTGCGATGACGTTTCTTATGTTTCTTCTCGTCGGGCCCAGGAGAGTATCGGGAGAACTTCCCAGAAGCAAGATCTACGACGTCTGAACATACCTCCGAACCGTAAACTTGAATCCCAAGAGCCCAAGAGCCCTACATCCAGTAGAGTCCGACTTGTTGAGAACTTGTGAGGAGCTCGAACATGAGCAGGAGATCTTGGCCAAGGCTCCAACCAAGGCGGAGCGCCTGGCAAAAGCCTTCTCGGCTGCAATAGCTTGGTGTGTGTGGAGGGTTGACGCGAATCTGCGGACGGAGTTATGATTGGACAGGCCAGGTCGCATCGAGGAACAAAAATGAAAGGAACTTGCTTGCTGCTTGACTTCGAGTTGTTTTGGCGGCAGCATGCAAGCATCTTGAGTCCATCTCGAAGCCTATCCTCCACGCCTCCTGTAACGACCCAGACTTCAGAAAAGCTCAATACGACACTTCGAAGCTGCTTTGACTGCAGGTCTTGTGTCCCCACTGTAGAATCTGTAACACCTGACCGGGGTAAATCTTGTAGCTGAGGTCCAGCAGCAAGTGGCCGAGTACAGCGCCCTGGCAGTAACGCATTGCAAGTCCTAGTTGGAGCCCCGTCGCTTTTTGTGGACACCTGGACGGAATGTTCGGACGAGGCACCATGTTAGATTCTAGAATGTGGAATGTCCGTCGCTCGTGATGTAGCTTTGGAGCTTGTAGAGTGTCTGAGGTAAGACTGTCGGCACGGGCCGTGTGTCCAAGGGCATGTGAACAGGCCGATGTCCTGTGAGGAGCTTTGCGGTTGACCCGATATTGCAAGATCATCCCGCTGCTACCACTGGGGACCTGTCCTGTCTGCCCCATTAGGTATCATTATCGGACTCCTGCGGCCACCCAGAACAATTTAATCCTGGACAGTTCGAGTTCAAACTTCAAGCTTGGCAGTGTGCTCAGTAGTACTGTGGCCAGTCTCAAACTCGGCATGCATAAACATGCCACACGACTGAGTCGGACCCAGTTGTTCCGAGCCTTTACGGATCGCTTGCCATACCTCCTGATCACTGCTTCTTGCACATCGGGGAAGCCCGCGATGACTTACAGCCGCCGGCCGACCGGAATGCCGTTTCAGCCACGAGCTGTTTGGCGCGTTGCATTGTGAGCTTTCAGGGGAAAGAATCTTGAGGAGGGACCGCAGAGGTTTCGGTTTTCGCCAATTGGCTACAGGCAGTCTGCAGGCTATAAGTTGCAGAATGGTTGACCGCTACAACATAGCATGTCACACGCGCAGACGAACCTGCGAGGTTCATGGTTCGCATCTCCTCAACTGTTTTAGTTGACAGTCATGCCGCCTTAGTTGCTGTCACACAGAACCTGCAGCTCATCGGCAACGCCCAGCTTGTTCAAAGACGGCCCACTCGTGCGCCGCGGAGGTCCGCGACTTGCAAGCTACAAGTAACATGAGACACAATCGCGGGTGTCAAGCTAGGGGATTGGCTCTCGGCATTGTCACTGCGCAGCTCAGAGTCTCAGTCGTCATGGTCACGGGTGCACAAGAAACACTCTAGAGCTTGCTTGAGCCCGCCACAGTCTGCATTTCTGTGTACGACGGCCCCCCCAAGACCGCACTCATCATCGTTTGGACCTCCTCGGTGCAGTTTCGCTGACGACTGAAGTCATTCGATTGTTCGAGGTGGATGTTTCCGCGTATTCGCTGGCAGATCAGAGCAGTTCTCCCTTGTACTCTTTGCATGACGCTGTGCCAGATTTCGTCGCTTTCAGAGCTTGTGGGACCAATGGATACGTTAAGTGCATCCCCAAACTCGCCAGACCAGCACATCAAAGCGGCAGCAGTCAGTACTCTTTGCATTAGTACCGTAGAGGCCTTTATTTCAGATTTCGCATGCTTGACGCTCGGATCACAGTGCCTTATCAGCCAGATTCCTGCCTCTGTTCCATAGCACAGCCTCAAGTTGGGAAGAAGTCTTTGCGTGCTAGGAGGTGGAGTGTCTGTAGTCATGACAGCTGCTAATGTTTTTTCAGTGGCTACGCTGACACTGCTGCATGATTTGGCTTCAGCACATCAGACGTTCATGAAACCTTCTTCTCCCCAGCTGAGCCTTTGCGAAGGCCGCCTTTTCAACAGTTTCAATGCTCGCCGAGTAGCAACAGGAGACTGCTGGCCTTGGATCGATCTCCGAAGCCTTGAACCCAGAAGTCATCACGCACCGGGATCAGAAGATGCAGCGCAGATTTAAGACCGGAAGTGCTGCTTGCAAGCCACGTCAACGACCTATCTTCAAGAGCAGAGATTCATTCACAGTAGAAGGCAGAGCCAACATGGGACCCCGAAACTTGACACTCTGAATATGCACAAGCCTCAAGCCTTCGGGTCTAGCGAGTGTTAGATTCGCACTGTTCTCGAATTCATGGGCTTCTTCGGCAAGGTACCCCTCGTTTAGTATACTGTATGCAAGAGACACAGGGTCGGGAGACTTCGTGGCTTTGTGTCGAGAGGGAAACGTCACATCGCACCCAAGGTGAGTTGCAGTGTCGCTTCTTTCGGCTTGCGACTTTGTAATTAGAGAGGCGGAGGTGCTGGCAAAGTGTCATGTGCATGTGGAAGAAGGAAGAAGTTCCCCGCATGTATATTCCAAGTACTTGGTGCTGTGTGTATGTTTCGCAGCCCTGACCTGAGCCAAGCTCAACTTGCAGATTGAAGTTAAGAAGGCTTGTCTTTACACAATCGGCGGGGTTGTCTTCCTTCAGGGAGCCACAGGATCCCTTGTCGCACAGGAAGCACCGGAATTTGTTGCGGCGACTCGTGCCTCGAAAAGTGCGAATCAGGGTCGTCACTGTCACACAGGTACGCTTAGGATTGCTTAGGCTCTTCTGGAGGTGGCTCGTTCTGAGACCTCCAAGAAAGTCGTCTTCTGGGGCGACAGACAACTGGGCAGGGGTGGGTTGAGGAGTCTGATTCAGTTTATGTTTTAGGGTGCCAGGCGAGGGAATTAGCAGTGCGTCAGATTTCGTATGAACTTCTCCCATCCCCCAGCAGATGACGAAGCCGTCAGTTCGAACCCGGCAACTGTACCGGCCGATAACGTGCACAAAGCATGATACGGTAGAGTGGTGGCTTATCCGCCTCGGTGCTTTCGTCGGTACCAGAGCTCCGACACTTGTAGCACCTGAACGCACTATTGCAAGCATGTCGCCGGTTTGGGGGACAGTGACGCTTCGTTTCTTGCAAGATTCAGTCGCAAGTTGAAGTAAGTGACGTGGGCAGATTGCTCCAAGTTCCGGAGCCTTCCACACTAATTGAGTGCCGCAAATACCACGTGCAAGTGCAGGAGATGTCACACAGAACCATTTCGCCGACGGTTGGCCTCTTAGACAAGGCGGCTGCTCCGATTTCTGTTTCGGATATTGTTGGTGGTTGAAGGTGGAAGAGCAGGCATCCTGCGGACTGATAAATGCTGCCGGGACGACTGTGCGAGAAGGGGTGGATGAACAAGAAAGGAGTCCGAAAGTGAGATTCTGAAGCCTATAGACCCATAGACCGTCCTACGGAAAGACACCGAAATCACAGAGCAGCTCTGAAGATCAACTGCCTTGAAAGCCTAAGCTAGCCCAAACCCCCAATGTACACAGGGGCGGCCCATGCCCTGGCCCTGCGCGCGCTCGGCCGACGCGAAGCTGCCCCTGGCAGGCCACACATCTTTCGGTCTTAGGGGGCTAGGGCTAGGGGTCGCATCCTCCGGGGCTTCAATGTAAGCTGTAGGCTTCGGGGTGTTTTTTTGTCAAATCAAGCGAGACTGCAGGTGCCGGGTTTCTCCGTGCTTTTTCTTTTGCAAACGCTGGGAAGCAGTGGTGGGAGAGAATGCTTAGCAGGCTTTTCGTTTGTTTCATGGGCTGCAACAGTGCGACACCCATGAGCCAGGGCATCAGTAATCCATGCGCAGGTTCTGTCAGCAATTCAAGAGTAGTTCAGGAAAGCCGTTCATGCCCCGATACTCCAAAAGCCGTGGAAATCCTTCGGTGTAGGCATCAAAAAGCCCCTAAATCCACTTGTAAAACAACCAGAGCGCCTCCTGCGAGGCCCCTGGACATCATCGTCTGCTACTGTAGCCCGGCTGAGTATTGCACTTGACTCACCATGCGTCTCAGCTGTGTTGTGCGGCTTGCCCTGTCAGCTCATAGGTTTCAGCCTCTGCCCCCTGCTGTGTCCTTCATGGCCACCGCGCGGACATCCCAAAGCCTAATTACTGTGGCCCTCAGCAATGAGAGTGGGTAAGGAACACTTTGCCCAACCTTGCGCTGCTCCAAAAGCCGCCTTTGCAGGCTCGGAGCGTCTCTCTTGGCTCCGAGCCTTTCACAAATTGCCTTGGCGGGACGACGCTTGTCCGAAAGCTTTTGACAAGCATAAGCAAGCTGGCACCGACCGGCTCTACCCACCGACAAGGGATTTTATGGCGTTGGTGCCTTTCACCGCCTCGGCATTTACACCGTTGGAGCAGTAGCACTTTGGAGTGCGAGGCAACGAAATACATCTCGCATCCTCTCGAGCCCCTTGCTGGTGATTGCTGTGTGAGGAAAACCGTTCTGCCGCAATTCGTGAACTGGTGACATTGAGGATTTATCACAAGCTGCCTGGCCGCATCCTGGCAGGCTGTGCTGGTTCGACTTCTGCGTAGTACCCGAGGCAGTTGGGGGCAGGTACTGATTTCATACCAGCAGAGCGGAAACCTATTGCGAGACTCGTGTCTGACAGACACCCGAGCATTAGCCCCGCAATTGGTTTCCGGACAAGGTGCGGCGGCTATGGCACGGGCGTGCGAGAGGCATTGGCCGGCACGCCAAAATCCGTGTTGTGTGTTGGGCTTGAACTGAGGACATGTTATTCCGCATTTAAGCATCATCCGGCTGCTAAGTTGGTTTTCCTAACGATAGGCAGAAAGCACTGGGATCGAGATGTCAAGTGTCGCTATCATGATCCCACTAGGCCGCCTGATGTCCCAAGACGCGAACCCTTGAGGCGGAAAGTGAGCGCCTTCGCACCGAGTGGGGGCCGTACTTTCGGGAAGTCGATGCCCCTTGGCGGCTCATGTGTGAAGATCAGGCGATGCATGAAGCACGACAGGCTCCGAGACAGGCTGAGCTGCGCGTCAGTAGCTGGCAGTCTCAAACTCGTTCTGGTTGTTTGGGTCCAAGCAGATCCCGGCATTGTCATTGAATCGAAACCAGCTCCGAAACAGCCCGGACTGCAGCATGCAGACCTACAGAAAGCGGCAGGTGCGCTATGTAGACGACGTCTTGCGGGCCGATGATGACTCGGCCTACTTGGCGTTCATCATCGACTGGCGACCAGCCTGGCCTGTACTGTAGCTATCAGGGACAAGACACATGCTACAAGTACTATAGATGTTTGGCAGCACCTTGTCGGTGTTCAAGTTGAAAGGGTCCGCTAGGCTATACGTCTATCAGCAATTCAGTGTAAAAGATTGCTTTCACGATTGAGGTTCCAGCAGTTGAATCCAAGCGTTGCGGAGGGTCTTTCAAGATTCCAGTAAGGTACGAAGATTTGCCAGAGTACACCGTGTTCCTCCATGCTGATGCGCCGGAGAAGCTCGCCCAGAACGTGCTGTTGGGGGGTGCAAATTCGCATCGCGAGGGCTTGCCCTCACACACTGGCATGGGGACGATTGGGGACGCAGGACAGGATAAACAATTGCAGGTACCGCGAGGCTCTGAGTGGCTGGATTGCGGACCAGCGTCACTGCTTAGTCATGCCTCCTATTCCTAGTTCTCATAACTAGACCCGAGAACCTGGGAAAATCAACACTTTCAGCAGTCAAGCAGAAGAAGCACTCACTGAACGGTTGCAGATCCAGGCACATCCCGTCGTTGGAGCTGTTGACAGACTCCGTTTATGCTGCCATCCGTGGTTTTCTGCCGAGTGGTATTGGTATCTTGGTTGAAGTTGGTGCAGCCTTAGTGGTGGAGAGTGTGTCCGACTGCGCCTCCGGCTTCTGCAGCTCTTCACCCCTGGCCCGAAGGCTCCTGCTCTGTTTTCCTAGGCTTCGTTCACTTCGCCCACAACTATGTATTGCTGGACTGGGGCTGCCGCTTGACAGCACAACCAAGCAAGATGCAGTCTGAAAGTCTTACAAAGCGGGACCTGCTGCAAGTCAGCTATCAGTGGATGCTCGGGACTGCCCGGAGCTGCAGGCGACCAGCGCAAAGACTGCGAAGGTCGACAGCTTGAGCCGGACGGGCCTCTCCGACCTCGCTTCTCAAAACACCCCGTAGTGCTCCCCAACCTCGGAAATCCAGGAATTTCAAGTCGGTTTGTAGAGACAGAAAAGAGACAAGAGCTTCGGTGATTGGGACCTTTCGGGCTTTCTTCATGCTTTCCTCTGGCGCGAATCCACCCCAATGTTCGAATCTGTGGCTTTTGACCCTGAAACCCTGTCACCAGATGTGACTCAGGCCTGATACTATAAGCTGAGCGTGCAAAGGATGGACCATGCCTGAAGTCCCGATCATCGAGTTTCTGTTGCTGCAAGAGCCATTAAACCCGAGACTATGAAACCAAAAGCCCGGCCTGCACCCGAAACTCTTGCAGGAGTTCTCGACCTTGTGGAAGCGCGTTTTCGGCGCCTCTGTCGCGCCAAGCCTGGCGGCCGGGCATGTGTCGCTCGGCAGAGTACCGCATGCATTATGCAAACGTAACGAATCTCTTAAAGATTATATAACTGCGGAGTCTGGACTTAGCTCCTTGCGAGCCAGCCTGCGAAGTCCGACAAGCTTTTCACTGTAAACGGTTGCTTCCGACAGTGGGGGCCAAACTCATTGTCCATCCACGAGTTTTCGATGGCCTCAAGATGTTAAGGTAAGACAGCTCATGAGGCCGTGATTAACGCATTGTGCTGATTGCTATTGCTCGAGCCTGAAAGGAAGTCGTCTGCAAGCTGTTATACGCGATTGCAGTGATCTTGCAAATTTTTCATTTCACTTTTGCACCGAGGAACGCCTACTGCTGCGTGCAGTTCATGGTGCATCGCAGCCGCATCCGTTTGAGGCCACCCAGCTCTCTGTGTTTTGACGCTGCCGGGCTTCCCAGGCAGATTTTCGAACAAAAACAATACGCTGGTAAGTAGGTACAGTAGGTAGTGTAAGTAAATAGGAAAGCAGGCGCGGCTTAAAGAACGGAAATCGAGTTGAGTCGAACTAGGTGAAGCCCGGCGCTGTCAAGCACATTTCAACGAAATAAGACAAGGAAACCCACTCACAGCAAGTAGCTGAGAATGCGAAGGTATTTGTCGACAAGTGTGAGGACAGGGTTGATTTTTGCTATAACTAGAGCAATCAGAGTTTGAGGTTAGAGTTTACATGCCCGCAATGTGTGATTGTATACCTGCTTCCCTCAGAAGTACGTTGCATGATCCGGAACAGACCTTGGATGCCCAAGATGCTTTACTTTAATATGGAATATTCGACTACGAGTATGTTTGACTTATATAGCTTTTATATAGCTTTCAGTAGCCCTGCTACCACAAGATTCAACTCCTGAGTTCTTGAGCTTCTGGCATCGCCTCTGTGAGGCCCAAGTCCTTCTACGAGCACGGGTTGGCATACTTTGGGCCGCTAGTCTGAGTCTGAGAGGAAAGCGGTTTTGGGCCAGGGTTGCAGATTACTGGAATCCGGTGTTGCAGTCAAGCGGTAGCACTCACGAAGTCCAAGACGGGCCTACCTGGCCTATGAGGAAGTTGGGCACCATGTCCTCCCGTAGATAGATAGATAGATAGATAGATAGACAGATAGATAGATAGGTAGGTAGGTAGGTAGATAGATAGATAGATGTATATATATATATATATAGATAGAGGATCCATCAATGGGCGAAATGATGCTATTGTTGAAGGAAGGAGTCCAGGCAGAAAGCCGTCGTTTTCTCGCATGCCCAGGACCACGGCCGAGTCCTACCACCGACTCTTCCCCGTGGGGCGCACCGTGGTTGAAATCAATATTCGTCGGGCTAGGCGTTGTTCAGATTTGTTTCGGTTTCTGGCTCATGTGTGCAGAACCCTTTCAGATGCCATAGCACTGATTCTGCCCATCTCGGGACGCTTTCAGAAGTTCCATCCGCAGACGTAGTTAGCAGCTAAAATACAGAAACACCAGCCCTATGCTATCAGCCGACAGCCTTCTCCGCACAGCAGAGTCCCAAGCCCCAGCCCTCAAGTCTCGAAGGTGTGGTCCGGAAGGCTGATGTGCCACTTTGCTGCAGCTTGAACTTGGACGCTGGAATGTGTTGGGTTTACATGGGGGCCAGGAGGTCCCCGAGGTTCGAGTCTCTTGTTTCACCTCAGAAACCTGCGATGCCCCTTGCTTGAAATTTCACTACACGTCTCGTACCTTTAGCCCCGCCGAAGCTAGATCTGTGGAACTCCGCACTGCATGCAGAAGCCCCGTACCTTTGTGTGATTCGCGGTCGCGGTCTTGAGACCTCACAGCTTTCTTTCTTCAAGGTTCGGCCGCACTCCCGGACAGCTTCTTGGTAGCAGGTATTGGCAATGAGTCGCACTCCAGCTGGATGCTGCGCGGTGGGGGACAAAGGTTTTCTGAACTCTGGCCGTGGACTTCTCGTGACGTGTTTATGACAGTCGGCAGGGACCGTAGCCTGGGTCGGCGACCTTGTGCCGAACATATTTCAGCCACCGAATTCGCTGAGCTTCAAGACGGCTTGTGGAAACGAGAGGCAAAGTTCTGCAGATACCACGAAGTAGACTCTATGCGAGCATTCACAAGGGCGGCCAGTTAAGGACCCCTAGGTGTTTGTATAATTTTCTTGGTTTTTACAGACCTACCGACCTACCCTTGTTTTCGAGACGGATATCTTGCGAGATGCCAAGGGGTCCCTACAAACCCATCTTGCAAGAGCTCGTGAAACAACACTTTGTTTGGGGAGAGCCCGTTTTTTGGCGTGGTGTAATGCGCAGCGAAACTTGTCAGCATCCAGTGTGACGGCAGTCTCCAGGATTGCGAATAGGCAAGCAGATGTTGCTAATTTTACTTGAACCTGTGAAAGCTCTAAACAAGCACAGGTACAAATCAGCATGGAGACCATAAAGAAGGAACTCAATAAACTAGTGAGTGCGCGTGCCTGTGTCATGTGTTTACATGTATATGTACACATGAAAATTTCCCTACACAACAAAAGGTACAAAGCTTTGACATGTCGTAGTAATCGTAGTGCTCGTTTTTGCATGGCGTTTCCAGGCTCGCTATGTACATTTGGCACGCCATGTTCGGCGAAGCTCTGAAGCTGCCACGACGGCAGCAGGCAGAGAGGGTCGAGATTTCGGGTGTGCAAGTAGGAGAGCTTTGCAGTTTGAGCTTCCGGGGCCTAGTTGTCTTACATGTCGAGCTTTTGACGATCACAAAGCAACAGCGTTGATGCTCCTGTTTCGAGGCTTCCTAAGCTCTACTTAACCAGGCTTGCCCTTGTCAGACACGCCGGTCAACGTGCTGGTCAACATTACAACATGGAACTTGTGCATGGAAGGTTGAGAAGCCGTTCCGTGCTGAACAGCGAGCGTGACGGATGTGACGGTAAATGGTTCGTGTGGTGTTCTAGGTATGTGTTTTGGGCCCTGCTCCTGCAGATCTCCTCCTACTGTAGGTTATCCTCCTAGGTTTCCTCATACACACACACACACATATATATATATATATATATATATACACACATATATCTATCTATCTATCTATCTATCTATCTATCTATCTATCTATCTATCTATCTATCTCTCTCTCTATCTTGACAAGTGGCCGCAACATTGCAATCGACAAGGACCAGCGCCTGCCGCTGTTCATGAAGATACAAAACGTGGAGGCAAAAGCCTGAGAAGATGCGGGTATGCAGCTGTTGTGAGAGCTATGTTTTGGCCGCAGGGTGGACAATGCATGGTACTCAGAAGTCGGAAGGTGGAGTTGCCAAGATGTGTTATAAGTTTCATGCCTCGCACATGTTGGAAACAGCTGCGGCATTTCCCAAAGGTTCACAATCACGTAGCCGGTCTTGTCACGATCCAAACCCGGGCGGCCCTTAACCACGAACCGGGTGCGCTGTCTTCAGATCCCCTGGCATGCTCTTTCAGATGCTTTGCTTCTTTGACGATCATAGTGCATAAATGCGGTCTCAATTCTGAAGAGTACCTGCCAAATGAGATGTTCCTTCCATGGATCGGTCATGCCCTGCAAGCTTTTCGGAAGCTTTGCCAGGGTTTGTCGTCCAATCTAGGTAGAGGCGCTGGAGGAGGATGCCACTACCTCGGATGCACGCCACCCAGTCTGCGGAATCCGTTTTGCTGTTAAATTGCGCAGAGTTCGTGCGCGAGACTTTCGCCAGGCACTCCATAGAATAGAAGCTGTATAGCATCAACCTGACAAGTTGAGACCTGAGCTTTCATTCCGATTAAGCCCAATGCATGACCGCAAAACCTGCCTTAGCCCATGTACTGCCTCGAAAGCCCGGGTGCACAAATCAGAACACTGGTCTTTTAAGCCCAAGGTGTTCTGAGCCATAAGCGCGCGAAGCAGAGCTTTCTTCATATGGGGGCCTGCAAGCCATGCGAAGCCCTATGCTCCGATCCTGCCCAATCTCGCTCGGAACCTAGTAGTCCAAATACAGTCAGCACTAAGTAGGGGAATGCTCCTGGCAAGGCCGAGATAGAGCAGCTGGCTCACGCGAGTCGTGCCCTCTGAATTCGAGGATGAGAGACGCACTCTTTGATGGGGTCCGTTCCGGTGGCGGGGGCGGCGGCGGCGGTGGGGTTGGTGTTGGTGCTGGTGCTGGTGCTGGTGCTGGTGCTGGTGCTGGTGCTGGTGCTGGTGCTGGTGCTGGTGCTGGTGCTGGTGCTGGTGCTGGTGGGGGTGGTGGTGGTGGTGGGGGTGGTGGTGGTGGTGGTGGTGGTGGTGGTGGAGGGTGTGGGTGTGGGTGTGGCTGTGGGTTATTGTTGTTGTTGTTGTTGTTGCTGCTGCCCTTCTGGGCGTCATTCCGCTATCTATCATTGGCCCAGGCCATCTCATCGAAGCGGGTCGGAACTCGATCTCCGCACGCTTGGGTGCTCTCTTCGACGAGTGAGTCCAGAGAGTAGTTTGGGATCTGGCAGTTTCGGATGGCTTCTAGGGGTGCACAGGAGAGGGCCGCGGAGGTCTTGCGCAGAAAGTCCCACACACCGAGGTTAGGTCCTGGGTGAAGACAAAACTGTTAGAGGATTCAGTTCGCATGATTCAGTGTCTTCTTGGATCCAGGGATTCCCCTTCTGTCGCTCAGAGGATGATTGCAGAGTAGGGTCTTTCAGTTGTTGATATTTCCTGGGGCAGGATTCGGATAGTTCTGCACGCGCGCTAGTTGCAACAGTGAAGACTGATGACGATCCCGAGAGTTTGAGGTGTGTCAAAGAGCCCGAGGCATTGCTTCCGACATTGATTGACCAAGGCTCTCGATTGCCTGGCATCCTCAGGTAAGCGAGTTCCGCGCGAAAGTCAGAGCTAGGGGGGGCATGTAGCCAAACCATTACTCGAAGGTTCGTGTTTGGACTTCGGACTCGGTGTAGGTCGTAACTCGTGACGCGCTTTCGAAGACATCAGCTATAATATAGAGCGGGTGACAACTCCAAGGTATGGTTCAGCTTCTGCTCTGAGTCTTAGGTGGTCACTGTATACAGATACTCTTGCTGAAGCTAACTGGGCCAGCCTCAGCGCACGCCATCGAAATCTCCTGCACAAGGTTCGAGGCACAGAAATTGAGAATTCAAGACAGCCGGTCGACTGGAATCACTTTGGCATTTTCGGACGATCTGGCTTAGGCACGAGTTTCCGGAGGGTAGCAGCAAGACAGACAGGCAGAACCGCGACTTGGCCACCATCTTGTCTGCAGAGCATGCATCCGCAACGACAGCTACCTCCCCCCCAAATCAAACTGCATGACCTATGTTGCGGTACCCTTCGCCGACCAATAGCATTGCCGAAGAGCGTTTTGCAGTCGCAGGTTTTGGAGCAAATCCAGTACGTCTTGTCATCAAGCTCGGTTCAGCGCAGGCATCGGTAGCACAGTAGCATTACAAAGCACCCGCAGCAGCTTAGCCTGGGCCTGCAGACCGCCATGGCAGCTGCCTGCAGTTGGCTTGTCGGGGCAAGGATCCCGGAATTCCGCGGCCTGCACATCATCACTCAGAAGACCGAAGTGCTGTCACCACGGGTTGAGGACCGAAGGGACTATCCAAGTAGCATGCCTCTGCAACTTTATATTTGCTGCAGCACGCACGCCGGCCTTCTAAGAAAAAGCGGGGTACTTACTGCTGCCAAGGTCCTGCTCCTGGGTTGTCTGGCTTGGCCCTCGCAAAGCCTTGCTGTGGTTGGCTATGTGCCAGACTACCGCCGCCAAGCGAGATTGGATTGGACTGTTACAGCCTATACACAAGCCTAAAGCTTAAAAGGTTTCAGGTTGGACTTGCGGGACGTGGAAAGGTTTATAGAAGAGGTTTGTGGGGCACACAGACTTCACGTGCTGCCTGTTCAGAGCTTGGTCAACTAGTGCTCACCGATGGCGGTCTCAACCCTGTCGTCGTGTACACGGTTGATAAACGCCCTGAGTCGCTTGGGGCAACTGGGGTCAGTTCGGAAAGTATAGGTGTTGCCCGTCTGCGCGGGAGGCGGGTCCGCCAGAGTGTTTAGGATCGGTCATACTGCCGTAAACCCCCGAAGTTTGAGACTTACAAGCTTCTCACAAAAGGGCCCACTGCCTTCCTTCATCATCCCAGCAAGATGTGAGGATGGCGGAGCTGTACGTTGGGACAGTAGAGCTTGGACTAGGAGTGCAGTTTTCCCCAGGGCAGAGAACTTCTGCAGCTTCCCAGGCTTCAGCGACATCGACTGGAGCAAGGACTGGGCAGCTTCTTGTTTCGACAGGTTAAGTTGTTGAAAGTTATGAGATACTCAATGCTACCCTGGGCTCTTTCACCGGGGTCCTTGTTGCAACGAATGAGAAAGTCTGGGCAGGTCGTTGCACGAACATCGCACGTTGTTCTCTTCTCGCTCACGCCGACTCAACAAGGACTGCAAGGGCTGTGGGTGGCGATCCGGTGACGATCGATAGGGAGCATTTGTTGGACCGTTGTTGCTTGAAGCCACGTTTCCGAGGCATCCCTTTTTGCATGCCCGAAGCTGCATCCCAATCAGACGGACACCCAAAGCCCCCATGCTGGAGGATTGGAGGGAACCACGCTGATCCGAAACCTTCTGCATCCGTACCTCGGCATTGGGGCATGCTGTAGGGCTTCGTTCGTGGTACAGGCACAGACACATTCCGAGAGCTGGCGCATTCCACCATGCCATGAGAAGAAAATTGTTGCAAGCCATCAACCCGACAAGATGTCTTTCTTAAACAAAGTATCGTGCTGCATAAGTGTTTAGCCTCCGGACCATGATGCACAGTAGCTAGTAGCAGTGCACTGGGTTCTGGCATGCTGCGGGTTCAGGCATGCCTTGAGGCTCAAGTTTCCAAAGTGGCAGGCCCGATCTGCTGCATACGTGTCCACGTCTCGCACTGGTGATCTGAGGCAGTCTCCACTGCATCTTGGAGTCATTTCATCACATAGGGCTTCAGTACCAGATGAGGCACGGCCTCCGTCATGACCTTTCAACGACTCACTGAAGAGCTATAGTGGGTGCCGTATGCCGTGCTTGCTGGGAAGGGCAGCAGGCACACGGTGTTGGCAGACGATGCATCCGTCTCCACAACTAGTTATCTGCTGATATCTGCTGCGATCTGTCATTCTAAGTGCCCGGTTTGGCTGCTACACAGGCCCTAAACCCTAAACCCCTAAACCGTCACGTTCTGTCGCTCCGGAGCTCAGGTCCAAGGTGCTCGAACACCAGGGCTCCCAGGCCGCCAAGGTGCTCGCATCTCGGCTTTGGAGTTCTTCGGCCCCTAAACCCTAAACCCTAAACCCCTAAACCCTAAACCCTAAACCCCTAAACCCTAAACCCGCGCCAAGTGGCTCCCTTCTCTGAGGTCAGCATTGGTGGAGCTGGACGTTCACAGGACTTCGCGGCTGCTGTCTCCACCAAGAAGGGTCGCAAACGCCGCTCGGTGCCGTCGTTCAGTTTTCGATGCCTGTTGACGAGACGGTGCCCGTTCGATGATATGTTCTTCATGTAAACCTCGACTCGTCTCACAACCTGCTGTTCTCAGCCTTCTGGGCACAACCAGACAGTGACCTACGGAACATAGCCTGAGCTGTACGCTGAAAACTGACGACCCGGGGGGCCTTGAGCGCCAGGCATGGCAAAGCTAATCCTGGAGCTTCTCAGCGAGGCCTTGTCAGGGCTTGCATTATCTTGCACTATAAGCATTGAGAACTTAGCCTCTGCGGGGTTATCATGCTTTTGTGCACGTGTTTCGGTGGCACGGCCGTTCAACAGCACGACGTTTCATGACGTGTCCACAAGCTTACATGATCCGTGGCGCTCTGGGCATTGATGCTTGGCGTTTCTGTGCATGATGCCTGCACGTAACATCCTGGAAGCCAGAGTTGCACAGCGAGGCGGGCATTTCAATCAGGCTGATGTGTTGGTGACGACCAACCAGCAAGAAACACTGAGTTACATGCAGCCTCAATGAAAAACGCTTGGATCCGGAAGCCAGCTGACTGAAGCATGCCGAGGTACCTCAGCTGTCCGGTGTGGACTTCGATTGGCAGGCACTTCGCAACGGGCTGTGCGACGATGCCATCGTTAGGAATGGCAGGCTTTTGTCGCCTTGTCTCCCGTTATCTCCCATTCTTTTGGCCGCAGCTTGGAGGGTTTTGGAGCTGCTCTGCCCTATATCGACTGGGAATTGAACGTTGAAACCCGGGGTCGGCAAACGACTGCATAGGTGCTGTAGCTGCGGGTGCCGCAAGAGTGTGGGTCAGGAGCAAAATCACTTGCGTGATTTTCTATACTGCTCTGGTCACCTCGTTCGTTGATTATATATGATCCCTCAACCCAGATTTCGCAGGCCGTTACTATCTTTGACCCTTTGATTTCTTTTTCGGCTTTGCGCAGCGCGGGGCCGAAAACGAGCGGTGTATTCGCCCTGATGGTTTTCTCTGACAACCCCCACCTCCCGAGTCCTTGGCCCGAGCCAAGCCAGGTTCCAACGACTTCGGCAGAGTGGCAGAACCTGGGCAAGCTGACTCAGCTTCTTCGAACTAGCAGCTTTGCTGAAACTTTCTTGGCAGAAATGGGCATTGGCTTGATTTCTGCATATGGCCCTCTTCTGGCAGATGTATGTACGTATGTATGTATGTATGTATGTATGTATGTGTATGTATGTGTATGTATGTGTTCACCCAAATGCATGTAAAGCCTGATGGATTCATGCGCATGCAACGCATGTGTCGCAGTCGCCACAAGAAGAGGGATGACAGCGTCGAGCATCATGCGAGGCGAAGCTTCAGAGCTTCTAATTAAGCCTGGAGCTACACTTGACACATTTAAACCGAAGCCATCCAAACGCGAATCTGTCTGAGCGCGATATCTGCAATGAGTGCATGCACATATTTCTGTGGCGTGCGTGTGTGTGTGTGTGTCTCATGTGTATATGTTTGCAAATAAATACATTTGTGATGAGTTTTGCTCGCTCGTCGTTATGTTTTGTCGTGGCTAGTTATCGCCTACCCGTAGTACATAGCGTGAAACTGCCGGGTCAGGCTCACGGGGTGGTGAAGCTCCAGTCACTTGGCATTTTGCTCCGTGGGAGTTGCAGAGGAGTCCAGATTCAGGGTTTTCAATTTCGGCTTGAAGCGTCAAGATTTCAAAGGCTGCTACTCGTACGGGGTTCCGAGCTGTAGCCCTTCTTCGACAGTGGCAAACTTCCCGGCAGTCTGTTGTCTCGACCGACGAGTCTTGGGCCAGCGGTGTATCTTTTACGAAGTTTTGCCGCCCTCCTTGGGAGTTCGTGGGGCAGGCATCGAATGTCACCCGAGGTCATTACGATGACCTTCCACGCAATGTCGGGGGCAATCAGGAGCTGACACAGCTGCAAGCGCAAGCTGATCTACGCGCTCCTGCTTGCCATCCACAGGTTTGCACTCTGTCACTCTGACACAAGTGTGCTTCAGCTGATGCTGCAGCGTTTGAAAAACGACTTTTGAGTCTTTTGACTTTGCCTCGCTATGGACCTTTTGTGGCACCTCCTGCACAAAGCAAGCGAAGTCTCCTGTCGCTTATTCCGTCATTATCAGATCGTCTTTGGTTCTGCCGAAGTGCTAATTACCGTACTTGGTGCAAGATGAGCTCGTCCTCGCTGGCGTGATTGCATCCGTCATGCGACAGTCCGCAGGAACCCTCAGAGCCGGCATGAACGACCCGTGTCATAGACAAAACCCGTTTCCGCTGCACACGTCCGCTCTGTCAGCTCACCAACCTGTCATCCCATGTAGGTAAAGCCAACCTTTGGAGTGCCGAGAGGAGCATCGCTTCACTGCGCAGCGAATCTTCCGGCCTCGGCCCCCTGTCGGGTTGTGGCGAGTCGGATTTGCTTGTTTCGGGCCTAAGGGCCACAGTTCCATTGAAGAGCCCAGATCCTGTTCTCAAGACGTTCGGATGCTGTTCTGGCACTGACGTATTCTTAGGTTTTGTCGAGCTCTTCGACATGTGCCACGTGCCCTGGCATCGGTTGAGGTTCTGGGACTTCGGCTATGTGCTTTGCTTTCCAAGGCCATGACTTACACCATGATGGACAGCAACGGCCGCCATGCCAATGAGAAGGTGGACAGAGATACCATCCAGGCAGGCCAGAAGCAGAGGGATTTGAGTGCCGGATGTGGGCGGTTTCATCTGAACCAACTTTAGTGGAGCACCACTTTGGGGCCTGGGGGATTATGGGGGATCTACTGCCAGAATCTTGCACATTTCAGGCGTGGCTTCGTGCTGCCAAATCGTACTAGTAGGATCCGAAGTTGAATTTCGAGTGATCGAAGAAGAAGAAGAAGAAGTGGCACAGCAGTGCGCCTCGAATACCTGTCCTCTTCGGGTCGGTTGTCCGGAAGCTCACCGGACCTCTCAACAGATCGGGTTGCAAACAGTAACTGAGTAAGTGCTGAAGGCCAGGGTATCGATTCGCATGACTGCAGAATCAAGCTGCAGATCCCCAAGCCAACCTTTAGCGTAGTGACCATTTGACGATGGCACCACAGACTGTGGCTACTCCCTGAACTTGGAAAGAACAGCAACATCCGACAGTCTAGCACCTTCGACATAGATGATGTTGAAATTCCTACAGCTTGCATCTGATGATCATGGGATGTGACTCGAGCTTTCATGCAGCTTGTGCTAGACAACGAGCCCGATGCTACTGGTAGAGTGGCCTGTGGTAGAACGCGAAGTTGGTGGCTTGGCAAGGCCTGGGTGAAAGCTGGCCTGCCTCTAGCGAAGCTGACGCTGGGCATCTTGTGCTTGTTGGTGTTAAGGAGAAGCTAGGGAGCTTGGGAAGATGAGAGGCTTTGAACGTCGCCCATACCTCGATGCCCCGCCCGCATTGCAGTGGCTCTCCCCTTCCACGGCTCAGGGCCTGACCTATGATCCCACTTCACCCGCTGGTCGTAACTCTCCTCCCACAGGACGCAAGAATCAGACCCAATGCTCGCATTGTGGACCATGATGGAACAATCACGAGCCAGTTATTATGTAGGTTTAGTGCTTGTTGACGCATCCCAGATTCCGTTTTGCAGGCCAGCATCAGAAGTGCGTGAGCTGGTTGATGGACATTGGCCTACTCGATGATCATGGACAGAAAGTCCAGCACAGCCCTTTTAAGTGTCAATATACATGTAGGCCACCTGGAGCTGATGAGAGTTTGGAGATGTGTTACGCTTGTGTTTTAAGCGGTTGCTTCTGGGGCACTGAACACATCCGACCTGTCTGAGGCACTCCTTTTTTCGGTGCGGCTTGGGCTGCAAAGCAGAATCAGCCTACGGTACTCGTACAACCAAGATCAAGATCCACCATCTTGATCGCCAATAGCAATAGTAGCCTCCTGCTGGACACCAAACTAAACTCGTCCTAGGAGGAGTGGTAGTCGTCGTCGTCGTCGTCGTCGTCGTCGCCGTTGTCGTACAGGGAGTGGAGTAGGGGCAACAGTAGCCATTGCGGCAGTGTTGTCGTCGTTTTCGTAATGCGAGTACCAGAGTGAGTGATGATGATGCTGGTGGGGTCGCAATAGTAGCAGCCTTGGCAGCAGCATGTGTAGGCTCCTTGGATCACTCCTGTCATGCGGCGTGGTCCGACCATAACTATCACCAGTACGGAATTGGTACCTTCCTGATGTCATGATGTTCATCACCGTCGTTATCAGCAGTTGTCTTTATGCTCTGGCTCAGCATGCGCCAGAGCATGCCAAAGTCTTAGATCACCAAAGCTTCTCTCCTCAGCTGCGTGTTTCCAAGCTAACAGAGACTTAGACTCAATTGCAGCCTTTGAGATTCGGTTGAACCCTTCTCGCAGGTGAAGGCCGGTGATGAGCCTCGCACCTTCGCAGAGCTTGTGGCCAAGGTGTGCCGGATTTTGTGATTTGATCTCTGCAGGTGAGCACGAAGCACATGTCGTGAGCCATGCTTGCGACATGTCACAGGTAATGTAACGGGCCGAGCGGTGGGCAAAGCCCTGCAGAATCGAAGATGCACCAAGGGGATGTGCGAGGTAAAAACTACCGTGGGTGGATGACTTGGCAGTTTCCGGCCTGGTTCTTTGTGTCATGGTCCAGTAATGCATTGGCTTAGAGTTGGAGCTTCGGGCCAGCCGCTTTTGTAGTCCGGAAGGACAGGGTGCTAACCCGATGTCAAAGAAAGTTTAAGCTTCGTCTAAGCCTCGAAGATCACCACTCTGTTCCATTCTTCCGTCCTAGACAGAAATATACTTGCATGACGTCAACATGAGCAGGTGCATTTGCACTTTTCGTCAACATGACACATCACCGTTACAGTGCATTCATCGCGCGCCGACTTGTGGAGTTGTGCGTCTGGTGCCAGGAGCCTTTGTTACTGGACGACCCGACGATTGACGTCAGCAAGGCCCGTAGAGCATCGCAAAGGTTGTCCTAGCAAAGAGGTGTATTAAGGGTTTTGCGGTTGCCGCATGGTGGTAGCGGGAGATTGATTTCAGGAACTTGGATTGAGTTGAGCCTTTCAAAGGCAAACATCTATGGATCCAAGCGATGGGAGGGAAGAAAGCTCTTGATGTCCTGAATGGGCGCCACTGTATGCCACACAAGTGAGCAGAAACGGTGCGGGTTCGTGACACATTACAGGGCAGGTGCTCCTCGCCATCTCGCACCATATTTCAAGCCCACAGATTTCGCCAGGTAAGGGTCTATGGAGCTTCTCGTTTGGATACAGGCCTCAGCACAAGACACTTGCCCAGGGCTCGCACCATGCCGAAACTCTTTGCAGATTCTCTCCATCTTTGGTTTCGGACTAACAGCCAGCACCTGGCCCAGTTGATCTACCAGACCACTCACAGCACGTCACTGGACCAGAAAGGTGAATTGCCCAGCCCGAGCGCTTGAACCGCAGAACCCTTTTGTCGCCGTGGCGTCTGTTACAGCACTTTTCAGCTCAATGGCCATGAAAGGATGGCTATTTCTTCGTGAATGGGTACTCTCTCACCGAGCCGCTTCGGCAGCAGAGCTTGCTTGTCCGGAAGGACAAGTTCTACTGTTGTAGCCGGCGGCCCCTCGAGAAGCAAACCCGAGGAAAGTCCGGCTCGCTGAGAAGGAGGGCCTCGTGCCGTGGACCTTTTCAGCACGTTTCTTCTTCAGGGCTGACGATTCTGGAAGTGGTTTGGGGGCCGCGGAACCATGCAGGCGCACTCCAAGCTACCAAGCTGACACTGCCGAACCATCCGTGGCACAGGTTCAGGATTGAACTTCGGAGCATGTATGGTCAAATGCTTTCGAGCGACAGCTATCGGAGCTAGGGCAAGCATTGGCAACATGGAGAGGGCCTCAGCAGACTGTGTTGTAAATTCTGGGGTTGTGACGCATGTCAATAGCCTCACAGGCCCCAGGGCATCTAGGATTCAGCTTCGAAGTTCCACTCAGGCTAGCTTCAGAAGATTGCTGGGCAAAAGCACATGAGTCGAAAAAGCGCGCCTTGAGACCGTAAGCAGTTTTCCCGACCCGAGTTTGAGGCCCACGCACTGCATCGCCGGTTCAGCATGTCCAGACCCAACTCTCCCCTGCCCAGCCCCGCGTTGCCAAGTCACATATTCTCTAGTTCTAGTTTATGCAAAATCCCCGATTCTGAGCCGGACATGTAAGGCTGGCGTCATGATCTGGGAGCTAGGGCAGGCCGCTGGTAGCCACTCTTTTATTCAGACTTCGCTTTAGGAGGTTTCGTCAGTCTTCCCATCTTCGTGTCTCTCGTGCAGGAGTCTACTGCAGAGGGGGCTTGCATGCTTTCTGAAATGTCGCCCCTTCGCCTCATTCCGGGAATGAATGAAGAGAGTAGCTTTGGCCTGGCACAGGATGTGATTGAAGATCGTGGGAGCCTGCTGTGGCAACTTGCCGAGCATTTTATCGACGAGGGCTAGGGAGCATTACGATCATTACGCACTGAGTTCAGGTCGGCTTCAACTCAGCTGTCGGAACTTGGAGGGACCATAAGGATTTCACCTTTGAGAGACGGGGATTCTAGAAAATGTGGTTGTTGGGCATGTGCTGATATGTGCATCCTTCTGAAGTCCACTGCCAGGCAAGCTTGGGATGCGGCAGAGAGGGCACAGAACAAGGACTCGGCGCAAATTATGTTATCATCTCTAGCCGACCGCTTGAATCCGCACTGCCCGAGCATGCTGTGGCTGCTGTGAAGCCTGTTTCAGCAAGGCGTTGAGCCTTCGCGAAATTTTGATTTTGCATCATGTACTGGTGAAGCCTGAAGCAAAGCTTTGCCATGCCTCCCCTGCCCAAGTGTAAGTTGACGGGTCTCAGATGTGCAGACAGTGTCACATGGGCTTCTGTTCAAGCTCAGCTTAGATGAGCAGTCTTGACGGAGGGCATTTTCCATGGCCTCTTCGGCATCGTGCTAACGGAAGACCACATGTTTGGCATCTTGGCGCTGCCTCATGCATCAACCCTTCCCCGACAGGTTTGGTCCTTGAGAAAGGATGGCATGGCTCATGTTGGCCACAGGTAGTTTCGGAGCATTGCTTGTAGTGTCTGAGCATGTGAGGGAGTCTGAACGCGAAGGATGTGCAGTTTAGGTGTGAAGCCCAAGAGCCTCGACAAAAAACAGCCTTATGTGCATCTCAGCCGAGGCATGCTGACGTTCATGATGGGAGGCTGGCACAATGTGATTGCAGCCGTCGGCATGGTGCAGCCCAAAGCCACGAGTCACCACCACCCAGTCAAGTTCCCTACATATATGAGTGACATGGAGTGACACAGAGAAGCCCAAGAAAGGATTCTTCTAACACCAATGCCAGGCTACTACCTTGCCAAGACACTCGCCAGAGCTGCACGGCCCGCGAACAATACCCACAAGAAGCAGGTGGAATCTGCAGTTGAGCAGTCCCGCCGATAGTTTCGGGATGTTTTGGGCATCCTTGCCGACCAGGGCAGAATGAGGGGTCTTCCCACAGGTTGTCGGGACGTCAAGGGCTCGACTTGCAGGGGTTAACGAAGGCGGCGACAAGTGTCTCGCGGGTTGTCATGGGGCGGACGAATCAAGAGAAACGGGCAAGCTCGCAGCATGCTTGTGACGGCTACAGGTTCTGAGTCACAAGGTCTAGTCATGTGTCGCGACTATGGGCACGACATGAGACGTTCCTGCGTTCGTTGTCGGGGCAACAAGTTGCAGCATTGGCTCACCCTGCAGTCTAGAGGGTGTCGGGTAAAGCTTACCTGCTCAAATCGCCGGCGTTTGAGAGATATCTCCTGTCAAAACGGTGTGTACACAGCTGTCTGGGGCCCAAAGGCTTCGCCAGGCGCAGCACTACCAACTGTCTCTCGACACAAGTTGGTTCAGGAGACTAGCTGCACTAGCGGGAGTACTCCTCGGGCGTTTTGGAGCTGTCATTTCGTGTATAAAATCGAACGGCCTGCAAGGGTTCCACCTGCCGGGTGCCGGGGCGGTCCCTGAGCGGACTCTAGCGATTCGAACATGGCGCACTATGTTTTGAGGTATTTGTTTGAAGGCCCTGTTGGGTGAAAGGATGCCTTAACTGTTAAGGCCTTAACATTGCGTCACATTGGCACAGATGCACACGGTGTTATCTCAGGTCCCGGAGCAGTCCAGCGACACTGCCGACGAAACTGCAGACAGCGACGAAAAGACCACTAAGAAGAAGTCTTAGCCTGCGGCGTATCTGCAAGCAGTTGAAACTTGGAACTTGTGCAGAGTGTACCAACAGTGCATACTCGAGCCTGCAAGCCTCAAGCACACCGTGTCGGGTGCGGTGTGTCTCTTCAAGAACACAAAGCCCGAGTGGCCGGCCAGACGAAGCCAAAGCGTTGTCATGCGACGCCATGCAGCTCTTGTTTCAATCTGCGCACCGAGCAGCCCCAAGGTAGCATGGCCCATGCAACGACAAGACAAGATTGAACACTTCAACACCTCTTTGATCGAATCTCAGGTGAGGAGCATAAGGCGACGGTGGAGTGCAGATGCTCATCACAGGATTCGCTGCCCAGTAAAAAAATCAGCGCAGCCGAGGTGAATGCTGATGCTTCATTTCATTATTCCATCTATATAAGTCCAGTCGTTGCTTTGGCTTTAAACCGCTTAACGAAATACACGCTGGATAAACATGTGAGTCCGTGGTCATGAAAGATGTCTGGTCGAGGCACGGCAGCAACGCTCATGCTTCGGGCCTTCTGGCACCCAGGGCTTGTTTTCGGGCTTTGCATTGGTTGCTCCAACGTTTTTCCATGTTCCATCTCAGCTTGCGAGACAGAAATTTGTTTGCAGCTCATAACGTCACATCGTAGCTGAATGTGGCTGGGAGAATGGATAACTCGTCAGACCAATCTCTGCATGCGAACCTAAAGTTTGGTGATGTGACACACGGCTTCTTTCGTTTATCCGATCCACTTCCATCTCAAACCAGGCACCACAATGTGCCTGCAGCGACCTTGCAAAGTCTCGTCGACATCGAAATCCTCTCTCAAGTCACTCAGTGCAGCAAGACTCCAAGCTTTTCTGAGCGATAGTTCAACGCAGCCCGTGTGAGAGTCGAGCCAAACCTAACCTGAGCATTTTGGTGTTTCTACTGCCTTGTGTCTTGAAAGCGGTGCCCCTGCCGCGATGGCACCTGCGCTGGCTCAGTGCCCAGGAGTCTCGGCTTAAATCATGTGATGATCACTTTTGTTCAAGTCATCAGAAAAAGCTACGCGAGTGAAAATACAAAGATCCGCACACGGAGGCATTGCCATACTGAGAGGTGCAACCTGGCCACTCCAGCAAAGAAGGCATCATCATGATGTGGTTGATGATGCCCTATCTGCGGTTGTAGTTTTTAGTGGCAGTGCTGGCATCCTAGTATTCGCGAAACCAAATGTAGAAACAGAGCATGGGCGTCGCCAGCAAGTGAAAAACGGTCAGGAAGTAGCCGCAAAGCGGCAATTTAAGCGCTGCGAAGGCCACAGAGCTGAGCACCGAAGGCCAGCACTGAAGGAGACGAGAGTCCACAACATTTTTGGCCACGAGCCAAGGCTTCACGGCGAGGCTTCACTGCGAGTCTGCCAGAAATAAGACACCATGCGAATCATGCCTGCGTTGCTGTTGCAGATGTTGCCATATGTATATATATATATATAT